TCTACCCAGACTACTGACAACTGACTGTTTCGCTGTCTTCTGGTTTTTATTAGTTTTTAGTTAATGTGCTTGTTAAACTTTATGGCAGAATGTCCACTCGCTCAGTGGTTCACTCACTCACTCACTCATTCTTTGGCGGATGCTTGTTTATTTGCCTTGTCGACTGAAGGAATCTGTCTTCCTGTAATTTATGAGCTGCAAAAGAATAAAAAAAAAATAGGAAAAAAAGACCACAGACAGTCTCCCTTTTACATTGACTGCTACTGCTGCTGTTGCTGCTGTTGCCGCTGCTGGTGCCATTCGTTTATTTTCTTTGGATTTTTACGCAGTAGTTGTTTTAGTTTATGCGCTCAATTTAGTAACTAGTTAGCCTGACGACGGTCTAGGTGATCACGGGGGGTGAAGGGGTAACATATGGTCAAAGCTGCTGGACAGCAGCAAGCCTGGACAGTGTGTGTTTGATAGACAGAGAGCAAGCTTGGTTTCTAAACCACTTTCGACATGCCATGCAGAATGAAAGAAAGAAAGAAAGAAAGACAGACAACCCAGCAAGAAACTAATAAAAAGCCAAAGCAAAAACCACAAGAGCTCATAGCTCAAACACGCTGACAGCAGGCACGAGTTATGCGTACGTACATTTCTCTGGAATGGCCATAACACAGAGGGAGGAGAGCCACGGGAGGCAATGGATAGTTGGCAAAAAAAAATATGTTGAAGCTTTTCCAACTAAATGCTATAAAAATTCTTGACTTAATAGGAAAACAAGACAAGAACATGAAGCTGCTGAAACGGTGAGACGACAACTTGAGTGGGTTGTGTGTTGGAGAGGGCAACTTGAACAGAACTTGTAGAGGCCACTAAAGAAAACTAACAAGTTACAGAAAGAGCCAAAGAGCATTCACTGATAGAAAGAGGGAGAAAGAGAAGCGGCTGAGGAGGAGGAGGAGGAGGCGTTGATGCAGAGACGACGACTACCAGGCAAAAAGGCAAAAGCCAACTGCTGGCCAACACACAGTAGGAAGAAAGAACTTGAAAGCCAAGAAAAACATTTAGTAAATGATGAAAATCATGGCAATAACAACTACTACTATGTCTTCTGATAGCAATGGCCTAAACGAGAGACAGACACATGTACACACAATGAGTGAGATGCTGATTTGGTCATGATACGAAAAAGGAGTCTCTGGCCAGAAGTCCAACTAAGGAACTAACCAAAACAAGGCACGCGGCCAACAACTGCTAGCCGCAAGCCAAACCAGGTCAATAACATTTTAGAGGCAAACGCAGCAGCTGCCACGCAAACGAATTAAAGCATTAATTGTGTAAGTTTCTTCTTGTTGTTGTTGTTTGTCTTGGAAGTGCTTCGAGTGGTTTTATATATACCCTACAACTAATTAAAATGGTTTACACAATAAGCTATCATAAAATGTTGTTGTTGTTCATGTTGATGTTGCTGTTGTTGTTGCAGACGGAAGTTGGCAATCGGCATCATCACATAAAAGCAAACAAACATTTAATTTTTAATGTTGTCGACTTTTTAAGCCTTATTTATATTGTAATCAATTTTAATTGAAATTTTCAATATGAATTTTATGGGATAGAAGTATTATAAGTGCAGGGTAACTCATAGTCGCATAGTCCTCGCAACACTCCACATTCATCCCTACTCAATCTAACTCTTATTTGTTTTGGGGTTTTGGGGGAAGTGGTTAACGCTTATATTGGATTGTGCGGTTCTATAATTTATTGTATTTCCGTTACGTTTCCGGCTAAGCTCCGAACTTTTTAATTTCACATTCATTAGTTACAAGTGGCGCTGCGCTCAAGACGAAGATGTGAGTTGCTCCAGATCTCGAGAGAGTTACGCTCATTTGCCTTATCATTTATCTTAGTTGGCCAAAAGTGCCGAGGACGTAGTAGTGGGTTATATTTGATGCCTTTGCTGCTGCTGCTGCTGTTGCTGTTGCTTGTTTTAGTTTTTTGGCCAGTCACTTGGCCATATCAATTCCGCTTTCAACTTGGTTTTGACTTTGGCTTTAGGCGGGTGCTACGCCTGCCTCCCGTTCCACTCCTTTCAGCCACGCCTTTTTTCGTTTTTGGCCACACATTAAAATTGGATTTGTCTGAGGCAGCTGTAAGCCAAGTAAAGTTAAGCAAGAAAAGGATTTCAATTTTAATGCATTTCACCCGCTGTTCTAATTAAAATTAAAATTAATTTTAGCGCTAATTTTTATTGCACTTTTCATTGTATTATTTTTTTTTACTATACTTTGGTGTATTAGTTCTTTAGCTTTTTTTTCGGTCTGTTCTGGGTTTTTAGTCAACCTGCTATTAAATTAATTGGCCGAAATCAACTGAAGCTGCCTTGTTAAGCTTGTCTGGCTTAAAACGTTTGCCCTTTTCACTTGGCCCTTTTGTGCCACGCGCTGCGCGTGGCCATAACGAAATTAGATCAACTCCCCATGCCTCAGCTTCCCCTTCCCAAAAATAAGGATGAAGACTAGAAGCTGCTGCCTAATAACTAATTGTTGCTTAGCAGCAGCAAGCAGCGCAGTCAGTAAATTGCGTTAGTATTAAGTGGCCAGAACTGAGTAGAAAATTGAGTTAGGGCCGAGTCGAAAAATTGAAAATTTCATTTTCATTTTCATTCATTTGCCGTCATCTCGGAGCTGAACGTGCGGATTAGCAATAAACTGTTTATAATGCAGCAGCCCAAGCGCGACTAAAAACTGTTAATTCTGCTTTCAATTTACAGTGTACAGCGCCATCTATGGGGCATTAGCGACAGATTTGCCCATATAAATTTAATGTAGCAGACTTTTCAGCGGCGCAAAATCTTTAATACGATCTGCTTTATTATTACAAAAATATTTGTATTTTTTGGTGCTACTGGTGGGCGCCCAAATTGATTGGAAAAATATTTATTTGCAACACAATTTAACTGAGGGTGCGCGAAAATTTGAAATTGGGAACTCTCCTGAATGTGTAAGCAAATTCAATTATTTGAGAGCATAATTTAAGGTTTGGTCCGAAAAGCATGAAATTTATATGCAAAACACGCATCAAATTGTTTTCTCTCTCTCACTCTGATTTTTGTATTCTTTTTTTTTATATTTGTGTTGTTCTTTTTCTTTCTATTACTTAGCATTACTTTGTGTTCATTATTTATGAACACGAAGTGGCTACAAAATAATTGAAGGCAACATTTTCGCTGTGCGTTTTAAAGTAATCAACAGTTGAGTTCGGGTCAAAAGAAAACTCCCGTCTTGGGTTCCGTTACAGTTTTAGGTTAATTTGTTGTTTGCACAACATGAGCTCGGTGGAATGCAATGGTAGTGGCCCAAATGTGTAAAACATGCTCACAAAGAGTGACAATTAAGTCAATTTCAAAGCACCAAGCATTTACAACAGGCAAAAGCGCAGAATGCGTCAATTTATAAACAACAATTTCTTAATGGTTTGTCGGCACAACTCTCGGATGAGGTTCTCCAGACAGAGAGCAAACTCAACGCACATACCAAAGGTAGACAATCAAATGTAATTACACGCGCATAAACACGCAACGAGTGAACTAAAAGCACAGAGCACAAAACAAAAAAATTAACAACCAGCTGAACCTGAAACCCTACCCCAACCCCAACCCCAACCCCAACACAGCCTTAACTTTATTTACCTGCAGCTGCGACAGACCTGAAAAGGTAGCCAGGAATTACGCAATTTACTATAATTTCACAGATGTGGAATTCAGAGGGGTGTCTGGGTTGGGTTCTGGGTAGTTTCTTGCTCCAGTTTCTTAAGATTGCTGGCTGTCAATGCGGCGACAAGTTGGCGACTTTATGGACAGTCATTAGGCAACCGGCAGCCGACACTTAGCCGGCTCAGTTAATTACAGAGCAGCGTACAGCTAAGTGAGGTTAAATCACAGAAGGGAGTTGGAGTTGGAGAAATGCGGCTGGCTGGATAGTGACAACTCTGAGAACACGAGTTGAGGTTATAAACCACATAATTTTACAGCGTTTGCGGTGCACAGGAGCCACTAATGCCAAAAGGGACAAGAACGTAATGCAGTCAAGTGCAGGTGCACAGATTCAAAGCGGTGGTGGTCCACTGAAAGGGATGTGTATGGGGCGTGGAGCGGGAGGCGGGGCAAGAGTTGTAAAATGTTGGCAAATTGCAAATTACAAATATAAAGCCATTAAGAGTACTTGCGAAAAGGTCTTGAAAGACTTGTGGCTTAAAATTAGAGCAGCGAAACGTGTCAAAATGATGCAGAGTCCTTGCTTGAGTGTGACCTAAAGTAACTTGAGACTGGAGACTTGAGATTAGAATCATCTGTGGATGATGTGCTTAAATGAATGCAAATAATTAATAAATTAAAGTTTGGCAGCGCAATTAAGGGGGAAAATTCGCTAAAAGCATTAAATTGCTTTAAGCCGATTGGCAACGTAAAAAGCTATTTGTATAGCCTCCAATTTAATCTAATTCGAAGGTCAAATTAAAGTAGGCTATAATAAGTTTGCACAAAGGCAGCCACAATAATCTTAGGTACTTTATTCAACAATTAATGTCCGACTTACAGACGACTTATGGAAATGCCTCTGGGCTGGGGCTGGGAAAGTGTCTTTTGCTTGGAGAGTTGCTAATGATTTGGGATTCGTGTGGCATTAGTCCAATGAGTCGAACTGAGCCACGTCACTTGATTAGCTTAATTAATAATTGACAAATTTTTGTGGCTAATCAGGCCAGATACCACCCCCAACCCCCACCTCCCCCCACCACCAACTGCAACTTGGCTAATTCAATTACAAGTTTTAGATGCCACTGATTAGGCAGCCCAACGAAAAATGCTTTGTGTTTATTAATTTTCATCAGTTGCGGAGGAGCGTAACTCTGATTTATGTCCAAACAGCAGAAAATATATATATATATATATATAAATATATATGAGAAAAATATCCATTGCTAATTTCATGTTGTGTATTTTTTGTTGTTGTTTGCAGACTATGCCCGCGTTGAGGTCGGACCGGAGAATCCGCTGCGAGTGGAACGTGACCGCACTGCCAAATTGGAGTGTAATGTGGACGCGAAGCCGAAGGTGCCGAATGTCCGCTGGACACGCAACGGCAGCTTCATTAGCTCCTCCCTGGTGCACACCATCCATCGGGTGAGCGTGCAGGATGCGGGCAAATATACGTGCAGTGCCGACAATGGACTGGGCAAAACTGGCGAACAGGAGCTCATACTCGATATACTCTATCCCCCAACGGTGGTCATCGAGTCAAAGACGCGCGAGGCCGAAGAAGGTGAAACCGTTAATATACGGTGTAATGTCACAGCGAATCCGGCGCCAGTCACCATCGAATGGCTGAAAGAGGGTGCCTCCGATTTTCGTTATAATGGTGATGTCCTAACATTAGCCTCGGTGCGGGCTGAGCATGCCGGAAATTATATTTGCCGTGCCGTCAACATAATGCAGAGTCAGGGCCAGGAGCGTAGCGAACGTGTGGGCAACTCCACAGTTGCACTGCTCGTCCGTCATCGTCCCGGCCAGGCGTTCATCACACCCAACAAGCCGGTGGTGCATGTGGGCAACGGTGTCACCCTCACCTGTTCGGCAAGTCCGCCCGGCTGGCCGGTGCCACAGTATCGTTGGTTCCGCGACATGGACGGCGAGTTCTCGAGCCGGCAAAAGATACTCGCGCAGGGACCACAATACTCCATACCCAAGGCCCATCTGGGCAATGAGGGCAAGTATCATTGTCATGCCGTCAATGAGTTGGGCATCGGTAATATGGCCACCATTGTGCTGGAGATACATCAGCCACCGCAATTCTTGGCCAAGTTGCAGCAGCACATGACGCGTCGGGTTGCAGACAATGATTATGCGGTCACTTGCAGTGCCAAAGGCAAACCAGCTCCGAGCATTAAATGGCTCAAGGATGGTGTTGAAATACTGCCCGAACTGAATCTGTATGAGGTGAAAACGAATCCCGATCAGGGTCCCAACGGTATGGTCACCGTACAGAGCATGCTCAAGTTTCGCGGTACGGCAAGACCCGGTGGCAATCAACTGGTGCCTGGCGATCGTGGCCTCTACACCTGTCTGTACCAGAACGAGGTGAACTCGGCGAACTCATCGATGCAGTTGCGCATTGAACACGAACCGATTGTGCTGCATCAGTACAACAAGGTCGCCTTCGATATCAGGGAAACCGCAGAGGTTGTGTGCAAAGTGCAAGCATATCCCAAACCCGAATTCCAATGGCAATTTGGTAATAATCCGTCACCGCTAACCATGTCCTCGGATGGTCACTACGAGATTAGCACCACAACCGATAATAATGACATTTACACGTCGGTGCTGCGCATCAATTCGTTGACACACTCGGACTATGGCGAATACACTTGCCGTGTGGTCAACTCGCTGAACACCATTCGGGCGCCCATCCGTTTGCAACAGAAGGGTCCGCCGGAGAAGCCGACGAATCTGCGTGCCGTCGATGTGGGCCATAATTATGTGACGCTTAGCTGGGATCCTGGATTCGATGGTGGTCTGAGCAAGACCAAGTTCTTTGTCAGCTATCGGCGTGTTGCAATGCCCAGGGAGGAGCAATTGATACCGGATTGTGCAACCCTGGCAAATGCCAACTCCGATTGGGTGGAGGTGGACTGTCAGCGGGATATACCCTGTAAAGTCACCTCGCTGGAACAGCATCAGAGCTATGCCTTCAAGGTGAAAGCATTGAATCCCAAGAACGGTTCACCCTACTCCAATGAGATAACGACCACGACCAAAGTGAGTCGCATTCCGCCACCGCTGCAAGTCACCTATGAGCCGAGCACACGCACCTTGGGCATCGATGTGGGCGCCACCTGTCTCAATCTGGTCGCTGTTGTGGAGACAATGTTGCATGGTGATACGCCCATGGCCTCCTGGGATCTGGTGGATATAGTGGAGAACCTACAGCTATCGGGCAATGGACCGACGCACAAGGAGAAGATCATCGATCGTCTGATTGCGCCACGTCGCAGTGGCGGCGGACGTGCTTTGGGCCACACCATCAACGATGATGATGAGGATCATGATGCCGCCCTTAACAACCTGGCCCTGGAGCAGGACGACAATAGTCCAGTGGTGCGAGTGAAACTCTGCCTGCGCAACAATCACGAGCATTGCGGCGATTACACAGATGCCGAGAGTAAGTATCAAAGGGGGGTTTAATGAAGGGATGCGGTGTTAACTACTGTTGATGATGATTGTTTAGAAGGGTTAGCTAAATATTCAAAGTAGAAATTTGATAAAACGTGCATAGAAGATAGAGTTTCTGAATAGGAAGGAAACATTTAAGATATATATTCCATATATTCATATACATACTTCTGCTAGATATATTCCTGAGCTGAGATAATTGAAAAGCAATTTCTATTTATGATATAGCCAGGGCTGATTTGAGTAATTTACACAACATTCATTCAAATATTCAAAACTTGCTAGCTAATTACAAATGAGTACCCAAAATCACAGCTGAAATGAATAATCATCATCACCCAGAAGATTCATCACTTAAGACTCGACACAACTGACTCAGCTGATGAACAGTTGCAATCAACTATTAGCCAAATGTGGCAAAGACCTATCATCGGGATTATTCATTGCGTTTGCGACGCACCGAGTTCAGTTGAGCGATTCGCGATCACGAATAATGATTCACGAGATTCGAGTAGTCGGAGTAGAAGAATAAGTAGAATGCACTGATTTCCATTATATGCAAAGCCATTACGAGGAATTGCGCCACTTGAATAGCCCGGAGGACAATCAATCAATCACTCATCCATCGCAGAGGCAGGCAGGCAAGCGGTTGCAACCTGGCCCGGCGGCCAGGCAACCATCAATCCATTCATTCATTCATCCATTCGAGCAAACATTCATCCATTCACTTGAGTGGCGTTGCATTTTTCATGGCTTCATTTCATTCAACTTTCTTCTCTTTCCCCCTCTCTCTCTCTCTCTCTCTCTGCTTGCAGTTGGACGCCCTTATATTGCGGAGGCAAGCGCCCTTGCGACACCCACACTGATTGCGATAATCGTGTCGTGCATTGTATTCGCCCTATTTGCCGGGCTACTGCTCATGTTCTGTCGCTGCAAGCGCAATCAGTCGAAGAAGAGCGCCGCCGCCAAGGACTACGAGATGGACTCCGTTCGCCCATCGATTGTGGCCGCCCAACAGAATCAGGCACCGCCACCGTATTATCCTGCCAGCGGGTTGGACAACAAGGCCCTCGAGCACTCGATGGACCTCGCCCTCAACATGGAGGACCAGAAGACGGCACTGTATGCCACACAAAATGGCTATAGTTATCATCCGGGCAGCGGTGTCGTTGGCATCGGTGGCGTTGGCATCGGCAGTGGTTTGGGTGGCGGTGTTGTTGGCATCGGCACCGGTGGCATCGGTGGCGGCGGCGGCGGTGTCGGTGGTGTTGGCACCCTCAATGGTGTTGGAGGCGGCGGCGGTGTTGTTGGTGTCACCGGCATACCCGGTTTGACAGGACACACGTTGCCAGGAAATGAATGTAAGTAAACACACATACCCATATACCTATATACATACAAACGTGGAACGTGGCGGACTTTGGCTGACAGTCGTGTGGAAAGCAGATTGATGGATAACCCAAAAGTAAGCTGCTGCTTTCCCATTGCTCTCCCATTTCTTGCCCATTGAATTGGACACTTTTTCCTATGCCAAATCGAGATAACTTTTACAATTTGAAGCATTTGAAAAGTTGAAAGTATTCAATTTCTCGAAAGGAATATAATATCAATTATATTTATAATTGTAAGGTATTGTTAAAAAGGAACGATAATTAAAAAGAAAACCTTATTTTAAAGCAGTTGATAATAATTTTCTTCTACCAAGTTTTGCTTTTAAAGAAACTTTTTGCTAAATTAGGCGACTTTAATATCAGCAACTTCAATATGAACATGGCAACAAAATCTCAACAGCCAAACCGTTGACAAATTATTGATGCCCTTTCAAGCACTTAAAAAAAAATCGAAGAGAAGGGAATGAGTGGGGTGGGGGTTTGCTGGGTATGGTAACTAAACCTTAACCCAAACATAAACCACGGGCAAGCGTGCGAAATACTTCCGGGCGGACCCTTGCTCGGACACTCGCCAAAATGTTTTGGGTGATTTTTCATTGTCCGCCGCCAAGCACATCAGAAAACAAAATGAAAACCATGCTGACGAGCACTCTGTGTGTGTGTGTGTGTGTCGGTGTGTGTGTGTGTGTGGTATAGGCAAGTGGCATGTTGTGGTGCCACGCTTGGTTGGCTTAGATGATGGGTGGGCTGGTGGGGTGCTGTGGAGGTTGTGGCTGCTCACAAATTATGTAGCCCATGAAATGTGAAAAGTGCAAAATGGAGTTGAGTGCAAATCGATGGCGATGCGCATTCATCACGCGCCTTTGCGGGCAACAAGCACTCACACACACACACACGCACACACACACAAACCACAGGCACACATACAAACATCCACCTGCCACACACAGACACACAGACACACACACACAACCACAGTCGCAGCAAAACACTTCAACTTCCGTTGTAAATTTGTTGAAACAGCAATTTTTTGCCCTAAACGTTTTACGTCGTCGCTGAAACATTTTTGTAATATACTTGCCATTTGTTGTTGTTGTTGTTGTTATTGTTGTTGCTGTTGCCTGCCGCTCACGTCCACCATTCATGCTAGCAATGCGTCCTTGTCGTCATTTCAAGTGACGCCACTCACTTCCACCCCACGCCGACCACGCCTCGTTCAATGAATGAAAATTGCGCACAAAATGAATGCGTAAACTGGACCCGCTGCTGCTGCCACCATCACACCCCCTTGCATGTTCAGCTAACTGCCCCTTGTCCGTCCGTTCAGTGCCACTCTGGGGTTTTACACAATACGCAATACAATTCATTATTAATTGTTGTTCTGGTTTACTTTTTTCTTTATTTATTTATTTTTTTTGCTGAGTAGGTGGGGTAGCTGCTGTGTGGAGTCTGTAAAATCGGTGTACAAGCATCGTGCCTCGCCCCCTCATAAGAGGCATTAACCTTTAACATGTTGGGCGCACAAATTGGTGAAAGTGCTTTTCCTGCTTTGCATTGTTTTATTGCCACTGCAATTGGGGTATTCTAATTATGTTGACAGGTGTTTAGGGCAGCCTTATCGCCAACATACAAGCTAACATATATTCTTGCTAAGCATAGTAAGGGATCTCTCTATCTCTCTCTCTCTCTTTCTGTCTATTTATAAATGTGTGTAAGTGTTTTCAATTTTTGGCATTCCCAAGTTGGCGATTGTTTCTCATTTTATTTCGTCTTTGCTTTTTTTTTTTGGCTAATGACGTGCAAATTAAAAAATTCCTTTTTTGTGTGTGTGTGTTGCGTGTTTGTGTGTGTGTTTCGTTGTTATTGTGTGCTTTGGTTTAAAAAATAACCAATAGAATTTTAAGTTGCTGGACACAAATTTAATTGCAATATTTTCACGTTGTTTGCCCAAGGACTCGCCTGCTCTGCTGATAGTTGGCAGTTGGGGGGGAAAAGAAAGAGGGGGCGTGGCGGGGACAGACGCAAGAAATTAGGGGGTGGGGGGTGGGTGCTGCTGCTGAGGGTGGTTCTTCTGCTAATGGCAGATATTGTGTGCGCTCCCTTTCAAAAGTTGCCGAGTTTCGAGTGCTTTTGCCAAATGCCAATTAAAATTTTCAAGTGCCAAAAAAGTCGGAAGAGCAAATCTCACTTTCTGTGTGTGTGTGTGTGTGTGTGTGTGTGTGTCTGTCTGTGTATGTTTTTTTTGCCTGCTGGCAAACATTGGCACTTAATTGCATTTTAAAAGAAATTCGCGAACGGCTAATTTGGCTAGTGAATGTGGCATTGGTTGCAAGGTGGCAACGAATAATATAAAAAAGCGCAGACAGGCAACAGCTGTGCACAACACACACAAACACACACACAGAGAGACACACACATGCAGAGATTTCCAGGTATTTTAGCTGCAGTTGATTGTTAGCACTAATTGCTGCATAAGAAGCTGCTCTTGGCGCAATCCCTTTTAAGCCACCTTTGCCAACCCCGCTTCGTTCTCTTTGTCTCTCCCTCTCTCCGTCTCTCAGTTTAATTTGGTTTGCTGTTGTTATTGTTGTTGCTGTCGCTCGTGTGCACTTTTGGAGTCATTAAGAGCTCAACCGAAAATTGCCGCAATCGTCGCATAGGCCAAAAACCTAATGAACTTTGCATGTTAACCGAACGAAAACGACGACAATAAAAGCAATGGTGGCATTACCATTGCAAACAGTGGTTGTAAGTGGCAAGCAAATTGCAGGCCAATTGGAAATGGCACACGAAACGACACAACAACTGGCAAATTGGTCTGTCTCTCAATAACCACACTCCCGGCTTTAATAATTTTTGAAAATATTCTACAAACAAAGATTGGCAAGGCTTATGCAACAGTATTTTTTATAGACAATAATTGAGTGATTTGTGTGCACAACGAGTTTAATTGTTTGTGGCACAAGTTTGAAGTTCTGGTATTTCTCTTCGGATATTTTCTTTTGTGTTGTTTGAACTGCTAAAGTGCGTCAGCTCGGCTAAAAAATAACTAGGATCTCCCAATAAAAGTTACCAGAACAACGCATAAGTAGCCTTATTATCCCATTGTACTTTGCTGCAACTCACAAACTGTTTTATTTGAATGCTTTATTTAACTTCATTTGGCCAGCATTCGTTACCCTTGCGAGACTTTGCTTAAGCTGCTTTTACTCGTGCAGCATTTGCTTTAAATAAATGTAAAGCCAGCTGTTTATTTATTTTTGCTACAGCTTATAAATGTGGGTTGGGGCTCGATGAACTGAAATCTGTGCCATGTCAGCAGCTGTGTTTAGATTTTAAAGCCAATTAGTTGGTCAGCGCAACACAAAACACAAAACAAAAAAAAAAGCCAAAAACAAGAAAAACAACAGCAGCAGCAACGAGTGAAGCCGGCAAATGCAGCTCATAGATTCTGTCATTGAATGGTGCGGTCAGCTGGCCAAGGCTGCAGCAACAACAACAGCAACAACTACAAGACAAACATGTTGAACAAACGCCTAAAAGGCTGCTGTTGCATGCAACAGCAGCAAACAGAAAATGTTGTTCGCATCGTGGGGCGCGCGGGATACTCTGTGGTTTGGCGGTTGAAGGAGGGGCACAAAACTATTTTTGCGGCTGTTTGCGTTGCGGGCCATAGCTGCATTTTGAACCAGACACACAACACACACACACACACAGGCAGGCAGACAGACAGACATACTTGAAACACAAACAAGCCAGACAACATTTGTAGCATCGAGAGTTCATGGCTTTATTTATTTAGCGCATAAATTTTCAGCGCGCTAAAGATTTTTTCTCCAAGCTTTTTTTTCTTTCTTTCTTTTCTTTTTTTTTTTTTAGTTTTTGGTTTGGCTTGTGTGTTGTTTACTTGGCTGACTTTTTGTACAGCAGGGGCTGGGAGAAACAAGGGGAAGTCTGCCGACGACAACACGACATTTGTTTGCATTTATTTGGTTTTTTGGAGTACATGTCCTCTAGACTACATCATTGTTGTTAGATTTGTTGTTATTGTTGCTCCCCCGTCTAGCCGTAGGCGTAACTGAACCGTCTCCCCTCCTCTCCCATACTGAGTCCAGCATGTCCCAGCAACTGGCCAGATTCTGCGGAATTTCGAGTTTAAACGCTTTTCCAAGCAAATATTTATAACAAAAAGTAAACTTGTTCCTTGGTTTGCTTGAGGCAATGAAATTTAAAGGCTTGTGAATGCTGTCATTGAGTCCAAATTAAGGTCTCATATGTGTGTTGCCCTTTTAGTTTTCTCAGAATTTGGGATTTGCTGTTTACAGCAGCAACAGCATTGATTCGTCCCATTTAAAATGTATTTATTTTCCATCAGCAAATTTACATTGTTTCTTGGGTTACTTCACTGCCAGGTGAAACAAGGTTTGATAAAAATGGTCGACAAATCTGACAAGCTCAGAATGGAAAACTATTTATGAGCAGGGTACAGACAGATTGGAATAAATTAGAGGCAACCCTGACTTTTCAGCTTCAAAATATGGAAACTAAGCAACAAAGCCATTTACTAAAATTAATTGGGTTTCACTTTTAATTAAACTTGATTTCAATTTTGCTTGAAAATGTATCTTTAAATACTTGTAAGCTGCAACAAATACATAATTCTAGGAAGTGTTAGATTTCATTCTTATGACTTTTAAAGAATATTTCGGGTAATTGAAGCAAAATTCTTTTTAAAAAAATTTGACTTTTTTTTTCCAAACTTCAACTCAAACAACTTTCACCAGTTGACTTTGAAGCATAAGTATTTCTGTATAGAATAATTCGTTGTAGTGTTCATTATGGCTTAAGAAACTTTTGTATTATAGCGAAAGCCAACTTTATTACAAGTGCATTTGATAATCTTTTATTATGAATTTGTGTGCGCGCAAAAAGTTGTAAGATTCTATGCAAAACTTTCGGCTCAACTTGACCTCGTTATGTGTGCTGCACGAGGAGCACAGCGCGTATACTTGTTATTGTGTGTACGGATTTAACATGAAGAATATTGCTGGACCAGGATGCGAAGCGCATAGCGAAAGTTCTACTTGGGGAAAACTAGCAGGCAAAGCAGCAGTAGCATCAGCGATAGCACACACAAAAATGCAGCTTGCCTGCAAAACTTTTCCACTACTTGTAGTTTCTATTTTTATTTATTTTTTTTTGGGCTTGCAATAACTAAAAGGCCGCCAGCAGCAGCCGAAACTGGCAACAAGGCGAAAGTACAGGAACTCAGCAGCCAGGCAGGCAGGTTGGCTGGTAGGCAATAAGGAGCGGGGTTGGTGTGTGTCAGGACCAGGTAGCGAGGACAAGTGGCTGCTGCTGCTGCTGCTGTTGCTGTTGCTCGAAAACTCCAGAGCCTGTTCTCCATCTCTCTCTGCCTCCACACTCTGATTCACTCTTGGCATTTAAGCGCATTTGGGGCAAATGGCGAGCAGGCTGTGTCGCGTCGCTAATTAAAAGTGCAACAAGGAGCAAAGCAAAGGTCGCCACAGGACCAAAGAAGGAGCATCCTTAAGTTGAGGGAGCTTAACGGTGTAAGCTGAGGTTAGTTGTGGCGTGTGGCGCCATTAACACCGTGTGCGCTTGAGGTGCCACCTAGCCAACTTTGGACAACTCTTCATCCACAACCGCCCCCTCTTTCTCTCTCTCTCTCTCTCTATCTGTCTCCTTATCTGTCTCTGTCTCACTCTTTGTAAGTGTCTGGTGTCGTTTAGTTAACCGTTAATGGCATTTGAAACTGTTTTTGTTGTGCGGTTGTTGCTGCTGCTGCTACTGCTGCTGCACAAAAATGTTGCATAATTATAAGCGCTTCCGGTTGAAAACTTTTGCCACGAGAGTGAATTAGAGCCAAGAGTTTCTAGTTTGATGGTTTTTATGGATACGCCTTGCAACTTTGCCACTTGGCCAAGAGTCCTTAACGTGCACAGAATTGTTGCCAGTCGACAGTATACAGCAACGAAAAAAGCACAGCACTTGAGCAGCTTGTGCAAAATTAATAAGCCTCCATTCCCCATTTATGATGCGTGATCATGCTTACTAAACTATGCCGCAGAAACAGTTATTTGCACAAATCAATGTGAAAAGTTTTTGGGGACCAAACTTTAATTGCGCATCGAGGAAAAGTAGAAGCCTCCCTCCACCCACAACACAAATTGTGTGCCTGCCCCCTGCCACTGTTGCATAACGAATGGAAATGCATTAAAATTCCTGTATACAAAGCAACAGAGAGAGGGAGAGAGGGAGAGAGAGAGAGAGAGCTTTTGGGTATTTGTTATTTTGTGTGTGTATTTGTAGCGATGGTCCACAAATATTTTTGTCCGTCGCCCATTTTCTCCGACAGGCAGACAGACAGACAGACAGTCAGACAGACAGATACAAAAACTTGAGCAATCAAAAGTTGAGACCGAACAGATTTGATGCTTATCAAATTGAAAAGTTTATTATTTTCCTTATTCTTTTTTCTCCGTTACTGTTTCGGTTTCTTAGAGTTGGCTCATTGCTTATAAAACACGAACGAGAATATCGCATAAAATTACAAATGGAAATATGCTCAGGGGAGTGGGCATGAAGGGGGCATGAAAATGGAAATGAAAATGAAGTTAATATTATTACTGTTTTTAGTTTTATGGCTAATCATAAAAATTATCACGCCCACCATGTCCCATAAAAACGAATGGCAAACGAACGGAAACACGCAATGCGAACAGGCTGAAAATGGCACACGAAATGTGGAACAGCCTGGCAATGGAACAGAGTTGAGCACAGTTCATAGCGCCATAGATTTTCCGCTTTTGGCCAAACACAAATTGTCGTTAAATTATGGCACACGACTGCAGTTAACACGAACACAATTCGATTTCGCTTGCATTTCACCAATGAAACAAAAATAAATAAATAAAATAAAATAAACAGATTTCAACAGATAAGAAAAGTTGTCTTAATTTTCAAGTTTTATGCCTAAAGTTTTGATCAAAAGATTGCTTTCTTTATAAACAGTTGAAGCTCCGCTCAAAACGTTTCCCATTCAGATTCATGCTAGAGATTATGGCAGAAAGATTTATTACTAATAATAAAAAATATAATTTATAACAGCGTTTCATAGTTAAATTTGTACAACTTGAAATAAATTTGATTAAAGTAAATTCCGTGTGCCATTCGTCTTAGGCTCCTTATGTATAAAATATAAATATATGTTCATGTTGAAATCGAGGCGAAATGCGACATTTCTTTGTGAATGCGCTTAAAGAATTTAACACAATTAAAAACATATAAGAAATTCAAACATTGTCTCCAAACTTCATTTAACTTGTAGTTGGCTTTAATAGGCCCAACAAAATCTAAGTGGAACATATTCCCAATTGCAAAATAAAGGACACTTAAGCGTATTGCTGGCGAAAGCGTTTTTCGAGGCGGGCCGTCGCCAGTTATTCGCTTTGCTGCGACTCAAAATTCAAAAACTTTGTTGCTGGCTGTACTTTTGTTGTTTTCGGCAAGCGTGCGTTTAATATTTATGAGTGATTTATCACGATATAAAAATAATAATAAATGCGAGCAACAAAGGCGCGCACGCACAACACAAAACCGAGTCAAGTAACAAGCAGCTCACAGGATGAAAGGACATCGAAGAAAAAGGCACCCAGTCAGGCGGGCAGGCAGTCAGTGAGGCAGCCAGCCAAGTCCTTTAACAAGGCGCACTGCTTGTCAACGCCTTTGTTCTGGCGCGTAACAAGCACCACAAGGACACAATGACAACCATTTCCCCGCGCAACCACCCCCCGCCAACGCCACAACAGCCATCCCTTAAGCTACTTCAGCTTTGATACTCGCATATATTTTTTCGCGTAGCTCGTAAAAAAATTTGTCAACAAACTTTCACTCAAACACACACACACACACACTCGTAGTGCAAAAAAAACGTAGTAGAAACGAGGCAACTGAGTTAAGAGAAAGTTGTCAAGAGACTCGACATAGATTTGTCAGATTTACGATGGCATTCTTGGCGTAGGTTTTAAGTGGCGTATGCGCAATATTATTATTATATGCCAAACTATTAATTACGCCTTGTTGAATTTGCCCAGTTAATAAAATCATTTCCACTGCACGCATTTATTGCTGTCATTTTTATGTGCTACTCAATGAAGCGCTGTAAAAACTACCAACTTTTTCTATACGTCGCAATTTTTTCTGCTCGGGTTTGGATTGCTTTGCATATTATTCATTAAGAGCTCTTCTGTTTTTTTTTTATTATTTTTTTTTTGGCCAGGCGCCAGCCATCTATCGTGTCTGTCAGCCAAAATGTCCTCATGTGAATTATGCGTCGATTTCGCTGATTTATGCGACACTTGTTCGAGCTCGAACTCGAATATTATTTTTATTCCATAGCGCTCTCATTTCAATTACTTATTTTATGTTTGCATTGTGTTTTTTGCTCTCATTGCAGGGGTCAACATGGGCTACATGGAGAACAATTATTCGAATTCGAACAATGGCGGCAGCGTCAACTCGCAGGACTCGCTGTGGCAGGTGAAAATGTCCGCGGCTGCGGTGGGCAATCAACAGACCTTGGTGCAGGCGCCACACAATCAGTATGTGGAACAGCAGCCGACCTATGGTTACGATCCGCTCACACATGGCGGCTATGGGGCTGTGGATGATTACGCCCCCTATCCCCATTTGACAGCCACGCCCAGCCAAGTGGGCGATGAGTATCACAATATGCGCAACAGTCAAAATCCGTCCCGGCAGGACTACTGCAGTGATCCCTATGCATCTGTACAGAAGCCCAAGAAGCGTGTCGATCAGCATTTAGGTGAGTCTTGTTATCGATTAACGATTACATGTTGAAAGTTCGATAAGTGAGGTTAGGTTGAATGAAGCGAAAATGAAAGAGTTAAGCTTAAATATTAATTGAGCTTAAAGAAGCTGAAAGATGATGTCCAGTTGAGAGCAGAGTGTGTAAAATAGCAATCTATTTGTTTCGCAAAACATTTGCTTAGTCCATGATCAGATGTAAGCCAACAGATCTGCCTCTAATCCCAAAACGAGCAAAGAGAACCGTTCTAAAAGTATAAAATGCAAAAACTGTCAAGATGAAGTAAGCCACATGAAAAAATATGGCTCGCAGGGAGTAGTATCAAGTAAATCTGACAACTTTCATCGCTGTGAGTTCTACTTATGACACATTAAGCACCAGTCCTGTCGGGTCCTGGCTATCTACCAACTGTTTTTCAAAGTTACCAACTTTAAGGCAAACACGACATTAAAAACATAAGGGGTAGCTGAGGGGAGTGTAGGGGCGGAGTGCGTTTCCCAGGGAGAGTAACTGCTAAAGGGTCGGCTGTCAAAACTTAGCTCCACTGCTGCTGCTGCTGCTGCTGTTGTTGGGTGTGTGTGTGTGTTTTGGACTTGGACTTTCAGTTATGACAAGTTAAGCACTCGGATATCAGAGACGTCGAGAGCCGTACTGAACTGTGCCTCATGCTAATTATGTGTGTGTGTGTGTGTGTGTGTGTGTGTCCAGTCGACACCTTCTTCAGCATGCCACAAGTGCGCCACTGCGATAGGCTTTTGTGATGGGTTCGCTTGAGGTTCTTTGCCTGCTGCCGCTGCTGCTTTTCTTCTGTCTGGCGCACATCTGATGGTTTCTCGGCTTAAAGTCTTTGCCAACTTTTGCTTAAAGTTCAGCGAAGCAAACAACAACAACAAACACAGCACCAAATGTGAGAAGCCCTTTGGCGTGTGGGTATGGGTGTGTGCGTGTGTGGGTGCGTGTGTGGGTGTGTGTGTGTGGGTTTTCCTGTTTGTTATAATGCCAATAACACCGCAAGTGTTTTAAAATATTAAATAATAAAAAAAAGAATAAGCAGCGAGAAACCAAAATGTTCAGGCTAAAATAACTGAATAAATTATGAATGCTGCCCAACTAACACATAGCCTAGAAAGTTGTAAAGAATAGAAATGCCTTCATATCAAATATAATCAAATGGAATTGAAATGGAAGCGTGTCAAAGATGTTACTATGGACTCTAAACAAACACTGAAAGAAACATTTTCAAAGGAAAGTCAGCATTTAGTTTATAGAAATACGTATATAAACCAAATATAAATCTTGGATAAATATACCCATTAGGTTTGTCGGTTAGTACAGGGTATCGAATTGAGCGGGCAACGACCAAACGAACTGACTGCAATCAGACGGCCACGGGGCGTATGCGTGATGATGTTGCTCTGGCCAAATGTTGCTGTGGCCATTGCTGCTTCTGGTAACAACTATGCGGCTTATTGTGTGTACGTGTGTGTGTGTGTATGTGAGTGTGTGTGAGTGAGTGTGAGTGAGTGTTTTTGTGTTAGCCGCGTGTGTGCTGTATTTGTGTTATCTTTACGGTTTATGAGCGAGCACACCCGAAAAAAATATATAAAAATTCCTGTTTTTTTTTTTACTCTGTTTTGTTACGTTGCGGGTTTTTATTGCCCGGCGTCGTTGTGGCATGACAGAACAGGACTCAAAACAGAATGTGGAGCTTATTGTTGCTGCTGTTCTTGTTGCTGTTGTTGCTGTTGTTGTTGGCCTGGAGTCCACGCTTGAAATTGTGTTATTCGTAATGCGTGTGTATTTTTATAGGGTGTGTGTCTGTGTGTGTGCGTGTGTGTGTGTGTGTGTGTGTGTGTGTGTGCGGTCGTGCGTGTGTATAAAATGCAAAAGCGTAACACAAATACTACAATTTTGCGGCTGCCGCTGCTGTTGCATAACAAAACACTGACCACGCCCCCACGACAGCCTCCCCCCTCCACTCGGCGGTTACGCGCAAACATTTTTGTGCGCCAAACTAAGAAATGCGCAACCAGCAACAACAACAACAACAACTACAACAGCAACTATAATAAAAAGCACTCGCAAATGTCAAACTGCCATATAAGCATCCCAGTTGTGCACAGATACATCTACACACACACACATATATATATATATATACATAAATATATATATATTTATATATACAGATGTACACATAACACATGCATGTCAATAAAATGCAGCAATATTTTTGTGGCACACAGAATTTTACATACGCTTGCCGCAAGTCTTAGCTCAACTTGCACATTTCAATTTAATTAATTGATGAATTGAGTTCGTTATAAAATAGCAATAGTCGAAAGCTGTTGAAATTTAAGAAATTATTATGAGTTTACTGGGAATAAGTTGGAAAACAAAAAATACATATGAACAGATATTATATGCAGTTGATGCTGATCAAAAAATATAGATAAACTGAAAGAGTATTTTTACAAGACTTTGCATGCAAGGGCATTAAAATGTGTCCCACGAGTCACGTTAAAAGCAAAGCAACTAAAAACAGAAACTATGCTCAGCACGAGTACAGGGAGTGGGTGTAACAAAAAGGGGTAGCTGCAGACATTGACAGTGCTACAGTATGCAAATACATCTTCATTACACTGATGCGTTAGCTTATGCACAGCTGTGTGTGACTATCTCTTCATATATACATATAAATATACATATGTGTGCGTGTGTGTGTGAGTGAGTGAGTGGCAACATGTTTAAAAGCTTTTACACTTGCCAAAACTGAAGCTGCAGCTGAGCTGAGCTGACTTTTGTGCAGATGCTGCTGTTGCAACAGTGGGCTGACGATGGGGGAAGGCAGCAGCAGCAGCAAGAAGGGACTGATGAACTGAAGGTTAGCCGGAAGGAAGGAAGTTGCGGCAGCAAATGCTGCGTTAGCAACAAAAAAAAAAAATTTAACCATTTTTGGTTTACATTTTTTTTTTCTCTTCTTTTCGCTTTTTGCGGTTAAATGGTGGCATGGGGTTGTTCCTGGGTGATGGGTGTTGTGTGTGTGTTTGTGGGTGCAGAACTGATTGATTATGCAGACTCTTGTGTCAGTTGCTGGCGCATTTTCGCACATGAAGCTTAATTCATCATTAAATCAGCGAAGCACAAGCGCGAGTGCAAGTGGGAGGATGAGCAAAAAAGCGAGCCAGATAACAAGTGTGAAAAGCAGAGAGATGAAGGATGATCAAAAGGATAACGAGTATTTTTGCTGCTTAAAGTTAAAGAAAGATGTGCGCAAAGAGAAAACTCTATGGAAAATGGGCAAACAATTTAAAGCGTGCAAATAGAAATGATATCAATTTCAAATATGTGAAACTCAAATATTTCACTTGTAATTTTATTACTTTTACCAAGAGACCAATTATATCAAATTGTAATTCTTAAAAACCATTGTTAAATCAATCTTAAATTGGGAGCGTTGATTGCAGCCTTCAAATTGTAATTTGCACACTAGTTTGCATAAAATATAAAAAATATATATATATTTTCTTCAAAGTAACTACGTTAAAAAACCTTACATGCTCTGGTAATTGGATGTAAGCCAACACTTTGCTCAAGTTCTCAATAACAACAAAAGATACAAAAATACCAATATTTTAATATAAAAACACACTTGCAGATTATTATTACAGCACACACACACAGCACAGCAAACACACACTCTTTTTCTGTAATCGAGCATTTACAAAAAACAGGATTTGCATAGCGATAAAAAGGATAGCAATTTGAAGATTCAGTCAAGCTTTGTTGGCCAACTCTAAAGCTTTCAAATGACTATCATGGCAAAATGATGACGCTTGTGAAGTGATTGAATCTCTTGGGAAAACTATAACTATAGCTACATCTTATTAAATAGTTGATCGAAGAAAGTTGAAACTTTTAAATCATCATATCAGCATAATAAAGCAGACAGGAAGACAACTTCTTTGCCTGTAATCTTGTCCAACGACCGTTGGAATAGCTCTTTGAGTTTATGAGCTGAAATAAAGGCAGTTTCAAGTTAAAGTTATGCAACTGATAGTAGTACATAAAATAGTGCAGTTGCCCAGCTAATAAATACAATCTTCGAATGAGGCACAACTTATTCAAACCCATATAAAAATCATCGCTTTCCCATTTTCCTAGTTTTCACACGGGTATCCTGCGCCAGGCCGCATAAATCATGATTTAGCGAGAGTCATGAGTCGAGCAAAGCAAGCTGGATTTCAACTCGCAGCCCAAAAGCACTAAACACACACTAAGTGGATTTGCGAGCAACAAAAAAGAAGGTGGGCGGGGCAACAATGATAAGCGACTGCTTTGGCCGTGTGTGTATTTGTCTTATGGATAAACTCGACTGCAATTTGTTTACTTTCGACAGTTTTTGGTGAAATTTAAAAAAGAAAAGTGGCTTATTACGGGCTAAGCGCCCAGAAAAAGGGAGCCTGGCCAACAATAATAGAAACATAGCCAGTCTCTTCCTTTGGGCCCACAAATTTGCATGAAAGGGCTAACAGAAAAACAGCAACAACAAAAAAACCAGAGAAATAAATAACACACACATTTGCAGCAAGTCTGGATTTTTTAAGTGAGAGAGTGTTCTACATTGAAAAGATATCCTTTACTTTGACTAAGTAGAGAAATGCCATAAATGTTGTATCTAAAATACGTTAACTGAAAGTTGTTCTATAGTTGACATGGCTTATAAAATATACATATTGCCTTAGCTGATAAGTTCGTGTTTGTTAGCTTAAAGAAACCAATGTTCAAGCAGATCATATACCATTTGTCGTACTCTACAGGGTATTCAGCAAGTAGAAACCCGTCTGCTTAACGCAAAAACGATTAAGTTGTTTCAAGTCGATTCGATTCTCAGAGCCTGAGCCCAAGAACTGTGCAAATTGAATGATAGCAAAACTAGTAAGCACCAACAAAAAAAAGGAGGGAAAAACAGCAGCCAACAAAAATACGGCAAAAACCCACCTCAATGTGTATGTTTTTCTGCCTGTGTGTGAGTTGTGTGTGTTGTGTGTAGGCGTGGCATGCATAAAGTTATGCGCATAATACGCACGGCTCACGTATTGGCCATAAAATACGATAGAAAAAGCGAGAGAGCAAAAAAAGAAGGGAAATCCCAAAGAGTTGAAAAATCTAAAGAAAATCTAAAAGAAAAAGATAAAAAAATGAAGCAAAAGAAAATAAAAACATTGAAAAGAAAAGCGGATTCACTTTTTTGGCTGACTTTTTGCCAGGCTGCCTTCGAGCATTCCTTTGCCAGCTTTTCTTTTTTTTTTTTGGTTGGCTTTCCTTATTTTTGGGTCAAGTTTATGCAGATGCCCAAAGAGCCCAAAGAGCGTAGAATGGGCGGCAAACGCGCTTAGAAATTTTCGCACGCCGCACAAGCATTGAAAGGGGACTGGGCATGTTAAAGAGCAGTTGTTAAAAAGGATTTACCGTTTTATATTTGTATGCGCCATTTGAGTGCTGGCAAACAAAAAAACAAAAAAAAAAAAAAAAAAATCAAACGGTACGCTGCTGAGGCCAAAACACATTGGTATTTGGCCAACAAGTCAAGCAGTGAATTAGAAAGGAAAAAGACGAAAAAGACATTTTTCCAATGCGGCGATTTCGATTTTGAAATTCAAATGTGCAATAAATTTTCCAACGATTTTGGCTTACAATGCAAACACGGCGCCTCAAATCCTTCACTGCTTTTTTTTGGCATGCTTCGTTTTTTTGTCTGCTCCTCTCTTTTGTGACGGGGATTTGCATTTTGCAGTGGCAAGAATTTTAAACAGCTGCGCTTCAATATATGCAACAATTTGTAGACAAAGATGTCGCTGGGTCACTCGGCCAGTCTGTGATTCAAATTTAAAATTGTGTGTTTACACTCATGTGCCAGATTGGGCTCGTCCTGATCCTGATCCGTCATCCTGCGGATGGTTAATAGCCAGCAGGCGTGAGTGGCAGCTGCACTTTTAGACTCCATCACAACCCCCAAGGAGGATAGTAAATTTTCACTTTGAGCCGCGGCAGTCAGGCAGGCTGCTGAGTTGTGTTGCAAATGTTGCAGTGCACTGCTGCAATGTTTACATTCAATTGCAATTTTGCAACAACCCGAATTGTAATTAATTTTTTAACAAGCGCGGCTCGTTAGTGACAAAAGCTGGCATTGCAAGGACTCAGCCAACTGGCAAATTAAAAGAATTGTGGCCCCCAAACAACAAGCAACATGCAAAACAACAGCTGTAACTGCAAAAGGCAACCAGCTGACAATTTTAAGCTGCAATTCCACAGCAAACGAGCGACCGGCAAAAAAGATGCCAAAGTGCAAAAGCTGCTTATGCAAAATGCACACCAGAAAATAACCATTTAAAGTCCATCAACTGGATTAGTCCTTGTGACAGAGAATTCAGACTTTAATTCAATTATTTGGCAATCGCTTAAGGCTCTTTTGGCAATTGATTGTTGAGCGGGTAATCCATTAATAGCTGATAGTAGATAGCATTTGAGTATTAATATTATGTTGCATATAGAAATATAAATATATCATTAAATTCCCAATATACAATCTGTATTATGTATGAAATGCCTGTATAAGTATGTATGTATGTGGGTGTGTGTGTGTGTGTGTGTGTGAACTCATTTTAGGCCAAATACTCGCATTTGTAGACAAGTCTGTAGTCTGTACGCACTCATGCATTCAGCTGCCTTTTTAGACGTTAACTTAAGCTATGCAAATCGAACGAATTTCGCTAACCATTTCTGGCTTTCTCTCTCTCTCTCTCTCTCTCGCAACACACACATGTCTTTGCCTATCTCACATAACATAAAACAAAACAAAAAAAACATTTTAAAAATAATAACATTTGCAAAAATTCAACAACGCACAGCGGACATTATTCAGGATGTTACGCTCTAACGGAGCGCGCAAGCTGAAGTAAGTTAATGCCGAGGATACGCCAAACTCCGAATCCTTGCTCAATGATGCCTATGATGATCGTTAAAAATTTTGAGTTGCAACCAACAAAAAAATGTGCCCTTTCTTTTTTTTTTTTTTTTTTTTGGTTTTTAACTTTCATTTTTTGCTTGTTGGAAGTTTTTTGTTTTTGCGCAAAAAAACACAGACACGCCCACACTGCTTACAGCCGCCCACATTTGAGTTCATCGTGTGTTTGTTTTTTAATAGCCAACAACAACGAAAAAAATACAGTTTTTGATTAGCATTTTGGTTTTTTGGAGGTATTTTTTTCGTTTGTTTGTTTTGGCTTGTGTTTTTAATTGTTTGTGCATGATTCTCAAGTTTCTTTTTTTTTGTCGAGTTTGTTTGAAACTAATTTGAAACTTAATTTTCGTTTGCAGATTCACCATATCACGACGTAAGCGGTCTGCCCAATCCCTACAACATGGAGCACATGGAACAGGACGAGGTCCTGCCGCCACAGCAGCATATGTCCCTCAGCTACGATGACAGTTTCGAGGGTGAATATTCGACAACGCCGAATGCCCGAAATCGTCGTGTCATACGCGAAATTATTGTCTAAGCCAGTCGAATAAATACACACACAAAAAAAGGAACAATTAACAACAGCAACAACAACAACAAACAGGCACTCTTAACTCTACAACAAACTCCCACAAACACACACACACCACACACACAACCTGCTCATCATGCATCATACATCATCATACATACAAGAAGAAAAAACAAAAACAAAAAACAGAAACGAAAACGAAAAGAAAACTCTCCATTCAGCATTACAACGAAATCTCAAGTTTTTCTTTTTATGTTTTTACTCAATTTGAGAAGTGGCCATTTTGAATTTTATTTTTTACTTTTTTTTATGTTTGCTTAACATATATATTATTTTTGTTGTTATATAAGCAAGTATGATATCGATAAGTTGAGGGTACGTGTGTTGAGTTTTATTGGCAACGAATTGATAAGTGGATATATATGATATGATATGATACGATATACGATATTTAAGGCATCGACTTTTCATTATCAAAAGAATAACCAGCTCTAGTTAAGGCCGTGGCAGCACTTTGTTGACACACACAGGCACACACACACACACAGTCTCCCACACACTCACACACACCATGCACTAAATGTTAAATACGAGCTACTTACTTATATAGAGCAGTTAAGTATAGTAATACCTATGCTATGAGGTCCCAGTCGCATGCATTCGCAAAAAAACAAAAAAACAAAACAGAAGAATATAAAAAGAATTTAAATTTTAAGGCATCAAATGTTGAAATGAGCAAATTTCAAAAACAAAAAAAGAAATTGGAAAATAAGAATATATCTCACACGTGTTTTTCGTAAGGCAGATGCAAACCGTTCACCATAGCGTATAAGAATTAATCCTTTAAGAATTGTGGCCGCGAATTGTTTGACTTTGACTTGCGAGCGCTCAAAAGTAGGCAAAATAAATACTTAAATAAGAAAAATTAATTTTTGTTGCCTACTTCAAGCAACTCGAAACACGTCTCAGTTGAAAAGAAGAGGAAATCAATTGTAATAATTAATATTACATTAAAAACAAAAACAGTACGACCTGCCACAAAAAAAGCAACTAAATTTTATTTACTTTACAATTAATTTTAAATTTTTAAATAAAAATTGCGAAAAAAAACAACAAAAAAAAGTAATAATATATAAACTAAAGTTAAAACAAAATGTTGCTTTAAGTAAATTATAAAACGAAACAAAAACTTTACAAAAATTATTACAAATAATTCAAAAATTATATAGAACAAGAAAAAAAAAACGCAAATAACCTAACATCTGTGCAGCTTGACGACTTTAATTTAATTTAAAAAATTATTTAAAAACAAAATTTCAAATTTAAAACTCATTTTGTTTTGTGTTCTGTGAGCTTTCTGTTAAAATTACAAATTTTTAAACATAATTTTTTAAAAATACAAAAGTCTATTAACATATATGTTAAATTATAAATAAATATATTTTTATACATATTACAATTAGTGATTACATTTTTGTATAACTGTTTTTAATCGCGTGTTGTTCGATTTATTTTCTGTGTTGTTTGTTTTTGCAACTTTTTGACGTTGGCACATGAAATGCAAAAGTGAATGGTTGAACGACGAATGGGAGAGTAAAAAGTTTTTGTAGCTAAGAATTAAATGTAAATACATGTGTAATTTGTATATATTTACTTGATATACAAAGTAAATAAGTTGCAACGAGCAGCAGAGAGAAAAACTTAAATATAAATTGTAGTTAATTTTAAACAATTTCAACAAGAATTTAACTAGTAAGCTAATTAATTAAGCGAAACATGTTTAAAAGCAAATGCCACAACAAAACTAAAAATAAAGAATATTATAATAAAAATAACAACAACAACAAAAACTGCATCACAAGTGAAAACATCTCGTTAATGAACAAAAAAATAAAATAAATAAATTATGTCAGAAACCAACTGCGACAAGAATCTTTATGATAAATAAATTATACACATTAAGCTGATGATATACATACATTATATATATATACACATAACATATACATCTACATCTACTTATTATTTGTAAATAAGTAAAAACACACATATTTTTTAATTTCAACAAACAAAACAAAAATCCATTAAAAATATATTTCCAAAAAAAAAAATGGAATCGTTCTTTTATTTGGCTAGTGGGAAAAAAGCAAAATGAAATAAATTTGATATATATATATATATATATATATATATATATATATATATATATATATACATTATGGAGTCGAAGATGCTTCCATTATACCCTTTTTTACCAATTTTCTTAGGGTTCAGGATATAGATATACGATTTGAACATTCCCAATTAAATGTATTGTTTAATTTTGATCTTAAAACATTTCGGAATGAATTTTAATGAGAAGGCGTGATTCGTGACATTTATAAAGCCAGTCGAAAACAAAGAGAAGAAGAACGGCAAGAAGACCTGCTGGTTGCATAATGTGCCAGTTCTCATTTGATTGGCACCAAATTTATTGCATGCAATTTGACTCGGCAAAGTGGCAGCTCCGGCAACAGCACTAGCAGCCCTGGCAGCGCCCGGAAGTAACACGACACTTGACATTTTAATTTAATGCCGTGCTCAGCCGTCACTGACAAGGCAGCAACAACAAAAACAACCATGATAACAACGACAAAACGAAGCACGAGGTGCAAGGACAAGTGTCCCTTCTACCAACCAAAGCTGAGTGCATAAAATCGATTATTATTATTATTATTCTGATTATGGCAATTTTAAGGTACATACATAGATTGTGTGACACATATCTGAACATACTAATTAGTAAAGTACAGCAATTTGCTTAGTTACCTTTTGCGGCGGGCAGGTCCCTAGCAATTGTAATAATAATAATTGGAATTCATATTTGATTTTATACGCTAGCCTTGTGAATATAGCAAGTACTCCTTATGCCATAGTTAATAATGCCACAAATTAAGCATCTCTTTACTTAACTCAAAGGTGTGGCCTAATGGGAGACACACAGACACACACACACACGTATACACACACACACACACACACACACACACATCTGCCAGCTAAGAACAATATGTCAATCAGGCAAGCAACTTATTGTTTATTCTGTTCTGCTGACACAACTCACATTGAAAAATCTACGAGTGTCGATTGGTAAGTAGCGCCAAAAACAAGCCAATGACATCTATATATTAATATTATTGGGATACATCTATACATCTGTGAGTCTGTACATAAAAATAACAAGAAAGAACGCCTATCATAGTATGACCATTGCATTATGAATTTAGGAAACCGACGGATCTTTGTTATTAACACTAAATGATATAGCAACTTACTGTTGATGACTTCTTGTCCAATATTAGAAGCTTAATCTGCTCACTATATTTATATATTTATGTATAAATAAATTTATATATAGAATCAAATGATGGAAAACAGTTCACACAGCTTACTAATGCGCTTGCACACATTATATGAATTGTTTTGTTTTTGATAGTTTTAATCTAAATATTTCTCATTACTAATCACAGTTTCACATGTGCCACAAATAACTTAAGGAAATGCGTCAGCTGTAATTTTAACACTCGTTAAAAACAGTTTAAGTTCAGCCACAAATTTCACATGGAAAAAAAAGAACATAGAAATAAATATGAAAGTTGCACCTAAATATTCTTGACTGCTTAATACACTGCGCCCAATTTTATAATAGTTATATCTGTATTGTATATCTACACCAAACTCAAAATATTGGCATATTTAAAATGAAGACAGCTCTCCAATACTATATGGTAAATGAAAAACGTGACGCCAATTCAAAGTGCAGCAGCTTGGCCATGCCACATGTCGCAGAACTAGGCCAGTGGCCGTTATGCATATATATATATATATATATATATGTATATATATAGAAATTTGTGAAATTTCTGAAATTTGTGCAATCTGTGGATGGCTGACCCGTCGACCTGACGACCCAGCGCCGCATTCATTCATTCATTCGTATGTCAGCGAGTTGAAACAAGAGCGAGCCCATATGCAATTCATTTACTGCCATTCAGAAGACGTGGCACGCCCACACACACGTAGCAAGCTGGAGGGAGGGACGGAGGATTGTGTGGTACGTCAATTAAAGTGCTGCCGGTGCCGCCTAATTGGATTTATGCCACATTTATGTATAGGTGAAAATTCGAAGAGGCAAGCGAGGCTCGTGCTAAAAATCACTACCATAATGAGCCGCACACACACACAGCCAGAGAGGGAGAAAGTAGTCGTGCCACAAAACTCGACGCTAAGCCAGGCCAAAACAATTGCAACTTGCTGTTGTTTTTTGTGGTTGTTCTTGTTCTTGTTGTTCTTGTTGTTGCAAACAACAACTTTCGAGGACTTTAAATGAAATTACGCGAAAACTTTTGGACGGCAGCAATACCAACTTTTTTGAAGAGATCAGCTAGCCACTAGTGGTGCGCAGTGAGTGGTTGATGCTGACAGGCGGTGCGGCAGGTGGGCGGACATTTCTATTGCGGTTTGCGCCACGGCTGTGTGGCACGCACAACAACTTTCAACTTGGCCCGTGGCACACACATAATGAGTTTCATAAATTAACACAAATTAAAGATACGAGCAAGTAATTTACCTATGCGAAACTAAATAACTGCCTCTTTATAGGAACAGCTGCCATTAGGTAAGACACACCCACACACACCCACACACACACTCACACACCCAACAAACGCGTCTTGTGTGCAAGTTTTGCGACCATTGGTTTGTAATTAATGCGACCAGAAAGCTGACCGAAAGACTAACAGACAGAAAGCCAACCTTGGTTCAATCGCTTGCGGCCATAACAGTCAAACAGTGTTGCCTATTTTACTGCCACATCTGACTTTACTCAGATTACGTTTAATATGAAGAATTGGTAGTGGAAAACCGTCTTAAAGTGGATCATTTGGTGCAGCAGTTGTAGATTGTCAAAGCTTAACAAAATACTTAAATAACTAAGTCTACCTTAATATATCTGTCAAAAACTGACAGTCTCTATTCCATGTCTGTCACTGTGACTGTGAATGCAACCTAAACTGTGACTGCGACTGTGACTGTGACTGGGCTCAACTGTGGACATGCCTGAGGCAGCGTTGAGTGCTTTTCTGTTTAATTTTATTAATTATCAGTGTAATCTTTGAAGTTTCCCGTCTGCCAATAAGTCTGTTTGTCTGTGGAAGTGTGTGTGTGTGTGCGAGTGTGTGTGTGTGCGAGTGTGCGAGTGTGTGTGTGTGTGCACATATGTGTGCACCTTTGTATGCCGTTTGCTAAACTTGAGCTGGGGACTCCGACTGGGGCGCATTCATTCATTCATTCATTAATCGCATTCGGGCAGTACGTGTGTGTCTGCAGCAATTAACTGACGAGTCAAAAGTTTGAGAAACTTTCGACAGCAACAGACGGGCATTCAGTTAAAATAGTTATTAAAAGTGAATTAGAAATGGCATCAACCAGAAGGAGGAGAAAATATTTCACGCATTCAAGCATCGTTTAAAAATGATTAAAAATTTGATAAAATAGATATGCTATAAACGAAAATACTTTTATAATAATTTAAATAAGTGCATTGAAAAAATAAAATAATGCAGTTAATTAATATGAAATAAATCAATATTAACTTAATTCTACTTATTTATTTCAATACAACAATTTTGTTGATTGACTTAATTATATATGTAGCATAAATAATAGAAGAAAGCTTATCGTAAAAAACAGAATATAATATATATATATTATATATTAATATATGTACAATCTGCAGGATGTGCAACATGATAAAAATTCTTAAAACCATTTTGTTATTAGTCAACAATCCAATAAAATTCAGTACATTTTTGTTGAGTTTAGATTAAATATAAAGAACAAGTTATGCTTTAAAGTATTGAAAGCGCACTTCAGTGGAATTCTGAGCCTTATCAATATATAAACATTAAAGTAAAAATTGCAGATTTTTAAATGGAACTGGAATAAAATGTTGGCAAATAGTTAAAATGTTTGCGAGTCTGTGCAATTTGTTGGGTGAATTCCCCGAGCTGGTCATGGTAACAGCGAAGCCAATTAGGCCAGCACTTGACCTGGAGTCGAATACTGTGGCTCTGACAGCAGCTGTTCATTTGTGTGCGGTGCTGGGACTAATCCCAGCCGCTGATTGGGTTTACAGTGTCGGTTGTCTGGCAACAAAAGTATAGTGCAACAAATTGTGGTGGCTCGAGGCAGGTTAATGGGAATAGGGGTCTGTGAATCTCACAGCATACGCGTTGTCAGGCCTTTCTTTTTTATCAGACTTTGGGCGAGGCAATGTTAAAGATTTTTTTTTTTTTTCCCAACTGCGTAATTTGAGCGCAAATATTGAAGCTGAAAACCAGCGGCGCTAATAAATGTTATAATCATAATGAGCAAATGTTTAAACAGTAGCAAAGGGAGCAGTGCAAGGGCGGAAGGGGTGGATGGAGCTTAAGGGGAGTGGGTTACAGGGAACACTGACGACTCGACACACGCCCCGTTGCATAAATTTTTGTGCCGGGAGTAATGCCGGAAAGCGGCGATGGCGATAAGCAATCCAAATGCGGCAAAGCAACCCTCAGCAAATCGCGATTGTAATTATGAATGAAATTTGAATTGCAAGCGTGGCAAATGAACGAAGCGAACAGTTTCAGGCTGCCTCTGAATCTCACTTCACTGGAAACGAGAATTGTAATCGCCACGTGGCCCGGATCTCCTGCTGGAGCTGTAACTACACTCAGAGAACACCATCAAAATAACTCCAGCCTGTAAATCAATTCTGAAGGGAGAAATAACCAATAATACTTACTGAGAATTATGTATAATATAAAAGAAAAACTTTGAGTTAAGCGTCTATTCTAGTTTTGCTTTGCCAACTTCATTATTTTTCTCTGAGTGTATGGTTTGGACCGACGACTGGTCACGTGTCGCCAGTGCCAACGACGCTGGGGGCGTGTCTGGTGCGGAAGTGCCAATAAGTAGTTGTCAATATTGACTGATTATCTCAACACGGCGGAAAGTGAACGGTCGGGATGGGAACGGGGAACGGGTAACGGGTAACGGGGACGGATACTCGGAGGGTTGACACAGTCGTGATTGCGAATAGTTGCGCGACTCCAAACGGAAGTAAACATAAATCACAGCAATGCAATGCGGGGCAGTTTAGTGGGTGGGGCGGAAAGTGTGGAGTGAGGGGCTTCCCCGGGCAATGCAATTATTTAGCTGGACACGGCCATAATTCAAGACGACAGGAAAAAGCTGCTGCCATTTAGTTGCACTCACAGGAGATGCGCATAATTGCATTGCATCGGATATCAATAGACATTAAACCTGAGGGAGAGAAACAAATACACAATTTAACAATTTAAATAAAAGTGTTGTTGTTGACTCAAGTAGTATACAACATAACACAATAATCACTTTCTCGAAACGAAGCGTGTGTAAACTTCTTTGAGTCACTGTGTGATAAGAAATGTGAGCTGTTTGTATGAAATACTGGAGTGCTGAGAGTTTCGCTTTGCTGTGACATAACCACAATTTTGATATATCCTACATATATATAATAATATAATTTAATAATATATAATATATAATTTAATTAAAATAAAAATAAACCAATGTAAAGAAATGGTTAGCTGTTATTTAATAAAATATATATGTTTTCGAACAAAATGTTCCTAAAATGAGTGGGTGAATGAAGATCGCAGTTGCGAGACAGAGAGAGAGAGAGAGAGAGATGGAGAGTTGTCTTATCAGACAAGTCAGCAACGACGAGAGAGAGAGAGAGTTGTCAGATACAGTGGTCAGTGGTCAGACTAACTTAAAAACGATTACTAGCCTCAGTCTTACTTCGCATTCAGAATGTCGCAGAACTGTCGAGGCTACTCCGGATTGGGTCTGTTCCTGCTACTTCAGCTGCTGCTGCTGCTGCTTCAGCTGCGATCAGCGGAAGCTCGGTGCAATAGGCCCGATGATTTTCAAAATGGTAACACATTGTCTTTTCGGGGCTTTATGCGTTTCACCTGCAACAACAAATACACGCTAATGGGCGAGAGGGCATTCCGTTGCGGCGGCGACAGACGCATCATTGGCCAGATGCCAGTTTGTGCCAGTAAGTACCAGGCGGCAACGACGCAATATCTCTTATGCTGCAAGTATGACTCACATTTTCTCTGTCTCTAATTGTTACAAACATTCAGTGAAGGGATGCAACACACCGAGCAAAACAGATAATGGCCAGATTGATACTGAGAGCGGCCTTAAAGCGATTTTAACGTGCAAGGACGGATTCGTCGTGGCCGGCCATGAGGTGGCCTACTGCAATGGCAAGAATTGGGATCGAACGTTGGGCGTCTGTCGTCTCAGCAATTATACAAAGAGTCATGCCTGCGATTTCGAGTCCGAGGATATGTGCGGTTGGTCGCGACAATGGAGTTTACGGCAGCCCTGGCGCCGTGTCGCGACAGTGTCGCACTTTCAGTCTTATCGCACGGGACCACGACACGATCACACTTTCCAAAATGCATACGGTGGTCACTATATGCTCATGGAGACAATGGAATCTTCAACGGGTGCCCATCATCTCATATCGCCCATCTATCCACGTGAGCTGAGCCTGAAGACAGCCTGCTGCTTTCGATTCCATTACTTTATGTATGGCTCGGGTGTGGAGAGTCTGGTCATCTCAGTCAAACCACATAGGACGAGCGTGGACCAAATGTGGAGGCGGTCACGCCAAAAGTATGTGTGAAGCGGATGTTGCGACAACTGCCAGCACAAATTGTGACTTAGTAATTAGAAAATTGACTAAAAGTGAATTCCTACAACCAGCCATATTTTGTTTAGTTTCACGATTAGCAATTGTAACTTTAAAACCAATGTTTCTCTCTCTCTCTCTCTCTCTCTCTGTCTCTCTTTTGGTTTCTGTGTTTAGGTTCAAAAAGTTCGAAATCTCTGGGAACCAGGGCAATTACTGGCTGGAGCACACCATTAGAATCGATGAAATGCCGGAGGACTTTCAGGTGGTAATCACGGCGACCGATGGAAGCGCTCATCTTGGTGACATTGCCATCGATGATGTGCGCCTGATGACGGGCAACGAGTGTGGCGGTGGAGCATTCACAACCACAACAGAGATGCTGCCTATGGAGACACTCGACCCAGTCATCTACGACTCGTTGAGCTGCAGTCAGCGTTGCGGCGAACCTGCACCACCCGAGAATGTGAAAAGGGTCAATGGCAAATGGATCAAAGAATGCGGCTGTGATGAGCAGTGCGGGGACAATTGCTGTTTCGACTATTTTTGGTATTGTGTTATCATGGAGCCAACCGAAAAGGATACAACACCAACAACAACAACAACTACAACTACAACAACTACTACACCAAGGCCAACAACAACTACTACAACTACAACAACTACTACACCAAGGCCAACAACAACTACAACAACTACTACAACCACTACACCAAGGCCAACAACAACTACTACAACCACTACACCAAGGCCAACCACAACTACAACAACAACGACTACACCAAAGCCAACTACAACAGCAACAACTAGAAGAGCAACCACACCTGCAAAAACAACAACAACAACAACAACAACAACAACTACACAACGCAGCACAACTACAAGAAAATCAAACACAACAACAACAACCACCAGCACAGCCAAATCACATGAAACTAAAGGTAAGCTCAGCATAGATTAATGATATATCGAATTATGACTCCGATAGAAGTGCAATATCTGAGTGAATATCGACAGTAGCAGGTTTTATTCCAAAATTACTATTCATACACTGAATAAATGGAAAAGGGCTAAAAGGTGTGTAATAAAGTTGTGCAACAGTAGATAATATGCATATATATCTTACTGATTACCATCAAAAGACTCGTCGATATGACCCTATCCTTTTGCCTGTAACTAAACTCGCCGATCTCCCTAGCTATAACTTCAAATTTTGGAGATAAGTTCTCGTAGTAAATATACTTTTCAAGCTTACTTCATTGTATCGATAACTTAATCCGTTTTCTTGAAAACGATAACAATCGATAGCAACAGCAATCACAATGTTAAAGCTATCGACTTATAATTGTATATAGCTTGAGATAATGCTGATCATCTGCATACATCTTATCAATATCGGTAAAGGAACAGCACAAGTATTTTCTGTATAGAGCATTACTATTAGTTTAACTAGGCTACATTTGAGAAACTTAAAATTCCTACTAGTACTGCAGATACACTCACTGATATTGCAATTTATATTCCTTACCTATCATGACATTAGAGATACTGATTAGTGTATTGTTCCTAACAACACTAACAACCGATATGCTTAACCTTTACAAATATATTCTACATTAAATATCGATTAATGGAAAGTCCTGTACCCAATTCTAGGACATCCGCATCGCATTGAATGGCAGGTGAGTCCGGATGATATCGAAGGACACAGCGATAAAAGGAGCAGCATGAATGCTGCACAATACCTGTGGCTACTCATGCTGGCCATATTGCTGTGCATCATTGTGGGCAGTGTTGTGTATCGCTGGAAGCGACCCAGTGGCTCCAGTATGGAGAACGCGGTCAGTTTTCAGAAGACCTTTGCCAAGCTAAAGAAGGTGGCTCTATCGACGAGCGGCAGAAACAATGGGGATGCACCATTAATCACTGATATCGATAACATGGACGAGGAAGAGCCGATTGTCGAAATGGCCGTGGATATACGCAATGTGACCGAGCTTTGAGGTGACGAGCGCTGAATGCGAGTTGAATATGCCTAGAGATACCTCCATCTAATAATATTAGTATAGTAAGTCAACGAAATACTTTTACTTATACTCTTATTATATTTTGAAATAAAATGTTCAAGAAAGAATAAATAACATTTTTTTGCATTTTGTAACTAAAGAAACTATAAGAAAGTTCAAGTTATAAAAATACAAATAATAAAGAAGGTTTTAAGCAATGAAAAATCATGAATTAAGAGAAACTTTAACTACTTTTCCGTATTTTATGAGAAGGCTATTTAAAGCTGCCTGCCTATCATAATAGTTGATCACATGTCAAAGTAAGAAAATCAGCCAGGATTATGTTCGAGCTGTCCGGCGATTAAGATTGAATAATGAATGAGTGAGTGAGTTGGCGAGTGGGCGAGTTGGCGACTGGTTAATGTGGCACGCTTTGAACAGCCTTCTCTCGATCCCTTAATGAAATGTGCGCTGGTGTATCAGTTGTCATTGCCTCGGGACTATGGATATACAGTATAACCTGTATGTGCTGCTAGGCCAGGCACGTGGCGCTGCAACCACCACAGCTGGCAGGGTTATGCCACCCCCAACCCGCTCCGATTCGCTCGCCAGACAGTCGTTTACCCTGGTCGTTTCTCAACCACCCATTAAGGGGCTGGCTCATGTTTTAACAGCGGCTTTTGGTTGTGATTTAGTGGCTGGCCGTAGCGACAGCAGCCGGCTTAGCGTCTGGCCAGACAGCCTGCAACCGTCTGGGTCTGTCCCCCCCTCCCTTGGCACCCCTCAGTGGTGTAAACGTTTTGTGCGGCACTCAGCACAAAATTTTTGGGCTTCTCATGCAATTATTGCCGGGCAGACAGAGAAAAGCAGCAATCGCCTCAGACCCAAACCAAAAATCCAACCAGCAACTCCAACTCGCAGTTTGCATGCTCAACAAATTTTCACAAGATTTTTCCAAAGCGTTTGCCCAAATGCGCGCTTTTAGCTTTTTGGTACTTGTTTTGCATTTCCTTTTCCCGTTTTTTTATTTTTATTTTTAATCCAGACACCCTTGTCAGCGTTAGCTGCGACTACCAACCCGCCTGCAATCCGCCCTGCCCTGCCCTCATCATACTGCTTGCCCCGCAGCGGTGGCTGTGTTTTTATCCTGTTTGGCTTTGTGATTTAGCACCCGTTGTTCGTTGCTCTATCGACTTCTCACACATCATTTGATGAGCATTTTTTTGTTTTTTTTTTTGGTTTTTAATTAAAATGGCATTTTAATGTCGCTGCCAGGAAAAAAAGGGGCGTGCTTTGAGACGCTTTTGGGGTATTTTCTTAATGCGCATTGAAGTCCTAATTAAATGTGAAGTACGCAGCTGCTTAGCTGTGTCTGTGTCTGTGTGTGTGTGGTTGCCGGGGGGAAAATGGGGGCGTGGCATCGTATATTTTCAAGTTGCTTGACGAAATGGCACACACACGCATGTGTGTGTAAGCAAACACACACGCAGACACACACACACACACCCGATATTTTTGCACGCCATCGTTATCTTTTGTTGCTCTGAAGACGCACCACTGTTGCAATACCCCTTAAGGGGCCATGCCCCCACCACATGCGGCAACCGAACAGTTCCACTGTTACAATTTCATTCGCGCTTATCGCTGCAATAAATCGCATTAATTTATTGTCCTCGCCTCGCATATTTTGTGTCCACTGAGCCCCTCGGCTCGACACAAGCCGTTTACAATTTAATGGGCTTGTCCAAATGGGTGCCCCAGAAACCAAAAACTATCCCCTCCCCCTCAAACCCTACCCACAGCCGTCAACCGACGCGCTCGTGGTGTTATTATTGTTTTCCATTTAACACTTTTTAGTTGGTTTGCTACCTGAAAGTATGCAACATGCCGCAAGCGAAAGCCACAACAGAAATGTAAAAGTCAGACGGAGATATGTATGTAAAGAGAGAGAGAGAGAGAGAGAGAGAGAGATAGATAGAGAGATAGAGGCAGGGAGAGAGTGAAGGATTACTTGCAAAGCTGTTCATAAGTTGCAGATGAGCGAGCATAAAAGTTATTTCACAATACTTGCCATGAAAATGATAAAGCCAACACTTGGGATAAGTGTTTTTTGGAGGCAGAAAGTTGAATAAGTCTTCGGTGTCCACAATATACAACATTTAAATTTAAGTTGGTATAAAGTAGATTACAACATTTAAATAACACATTATTATACACATTTATTAATAATACTTCGGCATTGTTATATGTGTGTTTTCAATAGAATTATGTTGATATATTATGCTTCCTTAAGCGAATCACATTTAATATCTATAACAAAATATATATCAACTTAGACAGGGCATTTCAGCAACGGCTTTAATTCAAATAAAAATATCTATGATATATTCTTTAGACTTTTTAGATGTCTGAGTTGCTTTCGTATCTGTGTGTCAGCATTTCATTTAGCAGTTGTAACCTGCATGCATTGGTCATGTGCGAAATTGTTGGCCCAGATGCTTATCAACAGACGCCAACGAGTTGCGTCAGTCTGGTCTGGTCAAAAGTGGGTTTGGTCGAAAATGGGTGGGGGGTATGAGGAGTCTGGGGTGTTGAGCTCTGTGGGCAGTTGGAATATTTATAATGCCATGGCTGCAATTTATTATGCAGTGCTGCAGGCACTGTCTGGGATCTGGACGTGGTTGCTTCACAACGACTACCACTCACCAAAGATGTCACCTAGCCGAAACTGCACTTGCCTAACCAAAAAGCAGCCCCTCCACTTCCCCCACCTGCCCGACAGCCATTTAAGATTTATGCATTGGAGTTATGGCATAGCTAAAGCTGAAGCTGAAACTGAAGCTGAAGGGGAACTTTATCGTTGCACAAGGTTTCGGCTGTGTTTTGCTTCTGCCTCTTGTTGCTGCCACACCAGGTTTTTGCACACACACACACATGCCTCGTTCAGCATATGTCTCCCTGCCTGCTTGTTCTTTGCTGTTGCAGTAGCAGTTGTTGTTCTTCTGCCTCCACTTGTGCTTCCTCTGTGCTTCTTGGTTTTTGTACTGGACATTTCCGGTTGTCCGCTGCACCTAATCAGTTCTTAAAAGTTCTTGTCGTTGGGGGATTTCAAGGTATTTTTGTTTACGTTTCTGTTGTTTGTTTGTTTTGTATTCATATTTATTTTACTTGTTGTTGTTGTCATATGTGTGAAAGTATATTCGGCTTTGCATGAGTTAAACGGCGTCTAAACTTATCACAATTCAAATGTAAACAATAAACAAGATATCGAGACGAGGGAATATCCTTGAAGTTTTGTTGAGAGCGAGTTTGTTATATATTTTATTTATACATTTTCAAGCAGCTTTATTACTTTCCTTCGAACTGACTTAATTTTGATTAATCCCTGTCTGTATCTTTGCCCTAGTGCGGAAATTATTGTGCTGCTGTCCCTTTCAAATATGCTCTCTACTTAAATATGAAGCCCATTAGTAAACATTTATGCAGACATTCGACCCCTAGCTAAATATTCCATTGTATACAATACAGATTAGTTTGCTAAAAAGCGCTTATCGGCAACTTACACATACATGTATATATATATATATGTGTGTATGTATGTATTTATCGGCTGACAAATGTGAAATGCTTTGTTAGGGCAAAACAGCAGCAATATTGAAATTGCGTTAAATTTAAGTGATAAGAGCCCGCTTAACCAAGAAACCAAGTAGTAACGACTTGGATATCTATCCCTCTCAATCTGACTCTCTCTCTCTCTCTCTCTCTCTCTCTCGCTCTCTCTCTGTGATAAGCTGCTAATGTGACTGTGTGGGGCGTGAGCTAAGCAAAAGTCATCGTCTGTTGTCTGCGTCATCATTATAATCATTGGGATTGGATTCAGTAGCGCAAAACTAATTAAGCATCGCATTTCATTTCCAATTCGGTTGCTCTGGGGAGCCAGCAAAATTCACCAGAACCAGGCAGAGGCAGAGGCAGAGGAAGAGCCAGAGCCAGGAGCAGGGGCAGAGAACAACCCAAATCGAAATCGAAATATAAGCCAAATAAATTTCCGTTGCCAAAGCGCTTTCATAATTAATATGAACCAATTACGAGAGCAACAGCAATAACAACAACTATTGGTAAAACCTTGTAATGGATAAAAATAACAACAACAAAAATAAGGGTAGGGAAAAAAAGAAAAGACTTGCAAGCAGAAATTCGATAAATGCTTCATTTTCATCTTTTTCTTTTGCCACAGCTGCCGCATTTTTGAATTGATGTGTGTATTACATAGGAGCACTAATCAGAATTCGCTTCCTCAAAAGCAACCTCCTCACCCTTCCCCCTCCATCGACAGCACCTCCTCAAATCCAGAATGTAAGACAAACAGCGAAATGTGAATTGAATGAAAAGTGCAGCAACAGCAAAAATACTCAAAACTTCCTTCCTTAACTTCCACGCTACACACAAAAATAAACCCCAAAAACCTCATCATCGTTAACATCATCATTGTGTTCCGAGTGCAGTCCAACGAAAACATATCGAAAATCAAACAATTGTCTTTAGTACAATGGAAAGAAGCGCATTCATTGTATGGCAACACCCAGCAGCATCCCAACAATTGATGATGATTCCTCCAGCGCCCGCCCAACCGAGCAGAACTCCGACTCAGATGCATTCCAGTTGCTGCCCGGCCCTGCTCTGCTCTGCTCAGCACTGCTCAGCGTTGCTTGGCTTAATCACCAGCTTACAAGGGTAAACAATGGAGACAGCGAGGACCCGGAGAGCACCGACTGTGCTCCGCTCCCCGGGCCAAAGTCAGAAAGTAAAAGCAATGCATTGCAAATGAACAATGCACGAATATAAAATATCCTGACATCAAGAGAGCAAAAAATAAAACAAATAAAAAAATAGCAAAGAAATCAATCCTTTGATCAAAGCAAACGACGCTAGCAAATTTATAAGACTGGATTCCGCATTACGGAAAATCCTTCAACAGAATAAATAAAATTCATAAAAATATTCAAGCTCAAGTTGTGACTTGCAGTCTTGATTTAATGGTAATTTTATTAACCCAAATTATAGGGTATCATCGAGTGCATTATACAAAAAAGGAGCACAAAAATAAAGAAAACAAAAAGCGTTTCAATAAACCAAA